AATCAAACATCATGTATTAGTAGATTGGATTTAAAAAACATCTATTTGTTGTCTAGAAGAGACACATTACACCAACAAAAATCAGCGAAAACTGTATCTCATGGATTTTGATGCTTTTGTTTTTGTTAGTTTCATCTCTTCAAACAAGTAGTTTGTACAAAGCTCTTGGCACAGTGTCAGGCACATGAAGCACTCAATAAACAGAAGCTACCTTACAGAGAGAAGCTATTCTTGTCCCTCTAAGTCATATATCCTGTGAGGACAAGACTTGCTTCTGAAAAGTATCATGGTGTTTCTTAGGTTCTCTATCAGTGTTGCTATAAATGGCATCCCACCAGCAATCAAACTGGAATATGAAGTCCTTGGTTTTCAAACAAAGCTGTGCATTCAGCTCCCTTCTACCCTCTCTCCCTGCTCCTGGTTTTTGGGGTAGATCTTTACAGGAGGCTGAAGGATGGAGTGTGTTCTTCTATTAGCTGTGTTTTATGACTCTAAAACAAATGTCACTGCCAACCCTGCTTCAGGTTCCAAACACTCCCCTTCTTTTTTTATATGTCTTTTGCCTTGTTTAAAAACACAACATGGGGAAGGGTGGCAAGCAGGATGAAGAACTGTACTCCAGAAAGACAATCTCCCTGAGGGGTGCCTTTTCAAAATTCATGAGGGCAGTAGGTTTCTCTGAGGGATTTATTGTCCCAACAAAAAGCCATCAGAGAAGACCACATGTGAGATAAAGAAGGTTGGCAGAACACTATGACTTCCAAGTGTTTCTCTCCCCAAACCGTAAAGGACACAGAAGGCTCTTCTCAGCAGTCTCAGCCCTGACTGAAAGCATGAAAACTTGGCTTACTCTTTGGCTCTTTCTCCAGTTGTGCCTGCCCTGCATCTCTTGCCAACCTAGACTCAAAAACCAAGATCTCAGGGATCACTGCCAATCTTGTTTCTGCCATACCAGCATCCCATATGGGCATTGATTCTAGTTGTGGTATCTCCACTTCCAATCCAGCTGCCTGCTTGTGGCCTGGGAAAGCAATGAAGGATTGCCTAAATGCTTGGGCCACAAACCCATGTGGCAGATGGGAAGAAGCTCCTGGCTCTTGGCTTCAAACCTACAAGCTGTGGTTATTACAGCCATGTGCAGAATGAACCAAAACATGGAAGATTTCTCTGTGTGTGTGTACCTACCTCCATTACTATGACTGTCAAATAAATTAATCTTTAGAACAGAGAAAGAGAGCATTCAGATGTTAAACCAACTGGTTCCAAGAGATTGAAAGGAAGGAGCCCCTTCAATATTTGGCCTCACATCCTTGTCTTACCAACTGGCAGCAGAATGGTGGAAGTCTCGATCAAAAAAGAGAGATAAGTAATACTGCAGGAGCCTCCTCTTGCACTTTTGGTGCCAGGATAGCATGTCTGGTTAAGGCAAGCAGTGTCCTGTGGGTGGCTGGTGCTGCACTCCTACATCTGGGATGCTGACACTTGAGTGTTTCCCGTTTGAGACTAGATATCATGAGTGCCATCTCACCCACTCATTTACAGAATCCAGTCTTCATGGTCATGGAGATAAACAATTCAGATGTAATTAAAAAATAAAATAAAAAAACATAACACCAACAAAACAAAAACTCTGTAGGTCCTGTTGAGCATCAGATTTTTGGTATTTTGCCAACAATTAATATGTAGGAGACAGCCAAAACTTTGTTTTGAAAGTTCCCACTAAATGATCCTATCAGGATTATACAGGTGGTTCAAACTCAGAATGTAGTGTTACTTAATAAATGTTTATAGCAGAGTTGTATTCAGGCAAAAGAATGGACAGCAGTTAATTTTTCCTGTTGTGTGTTTCCTATTAAGACTATATACTTGAAAGTCAGGAAGTTTGAAAGTATCTTGCATCCATGTTCTGTGATTGTTGTTGTTGTTGTTTAAATAAGGGGGTGGGCATTGTGGTACAGTGGATTAAATCACTATATGTAGAGACCCTTCTTCTCAGAATGGAGTGTCTAGAAGCAACTCCCATCTTTGCTTCCGATACAGCTTCCTGCTAACACACCCAGGGTGTGAGATCATGATCACCAAGGTACTTGGGTTCCTGCCATCCCTGTGGAAGACCTGGATGGAGTTTCTGGCTCCTGGCTTCTGCCTTTCCTAGCCCAAGTTGTTGCAGGCATTAGGAAGTAAACTAGCAGATGGAAGATTCCTGGGGGCTCCTGGCTATTGTTCCAATGTCATTATACCCTGTGAGGAGGGTTCTGGGATTCTTCCATCCGGTGTGGGAGATCAAGTAGGGAATGAATATTCTCAGGTTTCTCAGCCTATGAGGACACTCCAATTCCCTGTGATCTTCCTGGCAGTTGGGATGTAGTCCTTGGTGCCCATACTGATAACCCTTGGTGAGGATCCAGGAGTCTCCAGGGTTGGAATACCTGAGTGGAAGCCTCCTCCTCACTATAAATGTTTTTAATGTTTATTAGATTATTGGACACAGTATATTAAGTTTATTGTTCCAATAAGAGCCTTGGCCTTCATTTCTTTATCTTGAAGAGTTTATTTGAATATTTTTTACTAACTCTAAAAGAAATGATTACAGGTATCCAATTCCTATTAACACAGTTGGTCTAATTATTTCTTCATTCATCTTCTCAAAGATCTTCTAAGCTATGTGTGACTTGCATTTTATAACTTGTTTGATTTCAGAGATTTTTTTCATGTTTTTCTAAACTTCCCAGATATTTCCACTTTTCATGAAAGAAGACATTTTCAATGTTTTTTCCTTTCAAGAATTTGATTTGCTCTTCAAGTTGCCATCTTTGATGTGTTCCTATTTATATACCATATAAGTCTAATCCATGTATTGGAAACATGGCCTTCAGTGGATTTGCTTATCAGTTTTTGAGAGTGTAAATTCTCTCATTTTTTATATTGGGCTGGTTTGTTATACACTGAGATTGAAACACAAAGAGAATATAACCTGTATTGGAATGTATAATCAAAATTATGCTGTGGATAGATGCTCAGTCTCCTGATTCAGTGTACTCTTTATGAAACAATAGACAACTCATAACATTTAATGACTTAGTTCACATTTATCACCCAAATTTCATGATCAAAACCAGGACCAGGTCTGTAAAAAAAAACTCTCCTTCTTTGGCTACAAATTTAATAAAATAATTAGTAGAATTTGTGTGAATTTTTGCATCTGATTGGTAAGGTATGCTATCTTTTCCTTATGGGTTGAGTTACAGAAAGGAAAGACCTGAAACATAAGATAATAAGACTGTTGATTTTATAGTCCTGTAAAAACCTGAAAGGGTTGTTGAATTTAGCATTCTTAGTGAATTAAAAGATGAATGAAACATAGAGAAAACAGTTAAGCAACTTTAAACCTAAGAAAAATTTTAGGAAGAAAATGATGATTATATAACTATTTTGTCCCAATAAGGGAATGAAGCAATCATACATGAAAAAAAAAAAACATTCAGCAAGCAAAATTACAGACATAAAAGAGAGGTACTTCTAAATATTAGGGGTGGAACCTTTTAAATGTCAGTACATTTTCCTATAAAGTCATCCTGTGGAGGGTTGCAGAGAAAAATTTTGTGTAGGAGATAGTTTTTTTTTTCTTTTAAAACAACACTGACATTTTAAAGAGCTAAACAGCTTAAATGGAATGACTATTACAATGCAAAATTAGATTGAACAGAGACATTTTGAAGATTATATTTGTATGGCTTCCTAAGTGGCAGATAATGAATGACTCAGATAATGTGAGCAGTTTGGACTGACTCACATGCTTTGGAAGAAGGTGTCATCAAATCACGGATTCTATCAGTGTTTTCCCTGTTGTTCCACGTGGTAATGTCAAACAAATCCAGATGTATCAGTGAGTTTCTTAGCTCCCACTTATCATGAAGACTTTCCACACTTTTAGCAATGACCTAAGCATTTGAATTCGTGGATATTACTATAGCCAATGAGGCTCCTTTATAGATGTTTCACAAGCAGTGTTCATAAATAACTGTGGGATGCATAGGAGATAGGAAGTCCAGAACCTTGTCAGGAGAATAGGAGAATCAAGACTGGGCGTGGCCCATCATGTTGCCAGAATAGGCCTTTTTACCCCAAATACTGCTTCCTGGAAGACATTTTAAATCAACAATTATTATCAGGTATCTGTACCAAGTGTATTAAGCATATAAATAAGGAACACCTATTCCCTAGAGACTCATAGCTTATCAGGGAAACTGAGATAGGAACTAGGAAGCGGTACCAGTTGATATTTCATAGTATATATGGGAACAATGTTTAGAGGATACACAAAGGAATCACTGTCTTACACCACTAGAACTGAGACGCCTTCACAAAGGAGGTGGCATTTGGTTTGGGCATTAAAGGTTGAATTGAAATGCTAAGTGCTGACAGAATAAAAGAAGTATTTCCATCAAAGGTGAGAAGCACAGAAGAAATAGTTCTAAAACATCAGTGTCTGGGTATGTTCACTTACTGGTTATTCATCTAGTCTAACCACAGAACTGAAGAAATAGAAAAAAGGTGAGGTGGGGATATGGAACACAAAGGCGTGTCAGGTCAGTGCAGCTGTTTGGTGATAAGTCACATGATCAACATCTTGGTGTTATCCCAATCTCAAGAATATGTCCAACCTGGAAATGGCTATTCCTGTAAATCTGTGACTTGCCTTCTTGGCAGGGGCCCAATGTGGATGATGAATTACCGTACTCTAAGAAAAGCTTGCAATCTTCTCCACACTCATGCATCATATGCTGTTTATAGTGCTAAGAACTCACAGTGCCAAGTCCTTGATCAATATCAGTGGAAAAGTGTAATGATGAATCGTGCACATGGGTACACACATACATAGCTGCACAATGAAACAAACTTTTGAACATTCAGGTTTAACAACTGCGTTACAACTTGTAACATATGTACACTTGAATGCTGCTCATAGGTTTCTTTTTCCCTTTGCTGTTTTCCCACAGGACTGAAAAAGCGTACAAGAAAGGCCTTTGGAATACGGAAGAAAGAAAAGGACACTGATTCTACGTATGTATTTTAAAAATTTGTCTTCTCAAATTATTTACATAACCTGTCGTGATCATCACTTAAAGATTGCTGCAGAGTTTTCTTGAATATCATATACTTTTCTGCTACCCACTTCTGGATAAACTGTGGATGTTCAGCATAAACAGTTCTTAGATTGCACACAAAAGTGGAGTTTTAGTCATTTGCCTAGTATTTCACCATGTGTCACTTTTTCCTTTGATATGCAAACTTCCCAGCAGTGTGGGGGAACAAAAACAAAGGTATGCTATTGTGGGAAGTGAAAAGAATTTGGGTGACACCTAGACAACAAAACACGTAGCCAGAAACTGAAATGTGGCATGAGTAATAATACCAAACCTCTTATTTGAGATGGGAAGCAGAATTGTCAATAAAACAAGAGCATTCACAGGAATGACATGGATATTTGGATGTAAAGAAGAAAGCAATGAAGAAACAGTAGTAGGGATGGTTTTAATTGTTTACATGTTTAAGTGATGTACTCAAGAGAATTATTTGCTTTTGGACATTATTAGACCATTCACAGTTTCACTCCACTTGATTATCTTGAATTTTCTTTCAGAAGTACTTGGTTCTGACAAAAAAAAAAAAAAGAAACAAACTAACAAAAAGATGCCTTTTTGAGCCATCAGGTTACTTAGATATGTGAATCCTCCAACCAGGAGCATGGGGTTCTAACCAGGATAAGAAGGGCATCACTACTCAGCTGCAGCTGCATATATGACTAGGTGGAAACGAAAATCTGGGTGACTCGTTGAGCAAGGGTGCTTCAGAAATCTGTGCAAAAAATAACAGATAAGTTTATTTTGGTGCAAGACAAGCCCACTTGCAATTTTTCCATAACATACATTTTCCACACACCTGTTAGACTCCCTTCATGTATCAGAGTATAGCCTATCAAAACCCTCCTTTCACTAGAATCTTAAAAAATTTTGCAATGAAATGATTCTATGGTGTGGTAGGCTAAGCATTAGTACCAGCATTCGTTATAGCCACTGGTTCTAGTCCCAGTTGTTCCACTTCCCAACAGCTGCTTGCTTATTGTTTGGGAAACCAGTGAGAATGGCTCATGTCCTTGGGCAACTGTGCTTATGTAGGAAACCCTGAGGAGGCTCATGTCTCCTGGCTTTTGATCAGCTCAGCTCCAGCCATCATGGCCATGTGGGGAGTGAACCTGAAGATGGAAGATCTCTCTATTTCTACCTCTACTCTCTATAACTCTACCTTTCAAATAGAAGATGTAACAAAAAATTAATAGTTGATTTGGCATAAGTTAGCACAAGGAAGGCCATATTTATTCTAAGCTGTTCACTGTGTATGTTTTTGGAACATAACATTCCAAGTGTCAGGCATTTCACTGTGTCTTTATGCTCCAAGAATTTATAATCAATGAAATAAAATATCTACTATGTCAATGAAAATCTCTTGCATTGAAAGGTATTTTAATAAATCAGATAATGCATTCAAGATGTCTAGTATGATACTTAGTATTCACTAAGTTCCCAGTGAACAATAAATGCTACTACTCTTACTATTGTCAATACAAATTAATATGTAATAAATTTTTATAAGCAACTTAAATGACAGATCATGGGCACTTGGGAGTGAGAAAGCAATCATCCCGATGGTCAGTGATGTCTCCAGGCAGGAGCTTGGCCTTTGAGAAGATGAGGACACATGTTTCATGAAGGAGAACATGAAAAGCAAAAGGGATGGGTAGAAAAGTGCCAAAGGCACTATGGACAAGATACAAAGGACAAGTGTATGCGGGAGCTGTAGGGGGTATATTTATTTTGTGGGAACTGCATTGACTATGGGCCAGAAGATTTGCTAAAGCACTGAGTTAGAAACCTTTTACTAAGGGTTATACAGTTTACCTTGTTTCTTAAAAACGTTGCCATTTTCTGAACATTAACTACCCAGAATAAAGGTGGTCCCTTCATCAGGGTTGACCCACCTGGACTCCAGCAGCTTGTGGGCTAGAAAGTCACACTTTCCTTTGCTGGGTCTCGGTTTCCTCATCTGCAGAAATACAAGTTTACATTGCATTAGATGGAATCCAGCTTTCCTAAGGTCCCAGACACTGTTTCAGTCAGTGTGTCAGCCACAACTGTGGACATCTTCAGCACGCATGTTTTGTGGGACGCTGTTGCCTTTCAGGAAAGCATCATTAACAGAAGCCAAGTCTATCTTGCTACAAAGATGGTATCTGCAATGAAATGTACTAGAGATTTCCAGTGTGTGAGCTTTTTTTAACACAGCTTTTTGACAAAGGAAAGAGTTTAAACAACTTCTAAGGGGCAAATTGAGCTAACTGACATGTGGCCAAAACACTGCTCTCTTCTTCATTTCCAAAATTACGAAAGTAAGTTGTTCCTAGCTTTCACCTAGTCCATCAGTAATGGTCAAAGAATTAACTGTTGCATATAAGCCTTTGTTTTTCATGAACTCTCTAATTGGATCATATATTGTTCTTAGAAAAAGATTTATAAATGCAAAGGAGTTGGGCAAATTCCCTCACAATTTTCTATCCCTCTGGCTTTGCTTAATGCTTATTTCATCTGAGATCATGGAAACCTTGTTGATGTAAACTGCTTCAGAGTGGTTGCACTGAGCTCAGAGTTGCTAAGCAACCTGTTAGGGTAGCTGACAGCAGCAACTTCAGCTGATTGAACCTCCTTAAGCAGAGGGTGGGGTTAGGACCAGAACTTCCTGATTTGATCATCATTGGAGTGCCTAATGGAGAGGAAGAGAGATAACCTAAGTGACAGGCCATGCATGGGATATTTCATTGCACTTTTACCCTTTTTTAATCCTCTCAGTAATCCAATAAAGTTAGAAGTAATATCTGAATTTTAGAGATGAGGGATCAGTGCCAAAATAAGTTCAATAACTTACTGAAGGCCACTCAGAGCATGGGACCCAGAAACAAGATGCCAGTCCAGAACTGAGTGCTTGCTCTTATCACCAAGAACAAAACACATCAATAGGTAAACTCATAATCCAAACAGAGTAAAACAGAAAAGGCAGTATTTAGATGATGATTTTGAAACTTTTAAAAGAACAAGGCCCATGGTGAATGAGTAGTTTTAAACATAAATCAGTAAATAAAACGGAGTTTCCGTTAAATATATAAAAAAAAATCGTTAACAAAATATAAGGCTTCTTATGAGGGTATTGGAGTAAATATTTAGAACAGTTGCCCAGGTGTCTGAGTTGCTAAAATCTCTATACTTTCCTTTATAGGGAAGATTACATAGTAGCTGTCACTCTAGATAACAGGTAATGAATATTTACTAAGGGCTAGGCACTGTTTCAGATCTTAAATTGACTCATTGGATCTTCTAACTGCCCCATGAGGTTTATGCAATTATGGCTATTTTATAGAAGAAGGAACTGGAACACAGAAAAGAGTGAATTGACTTGCCCATATCTCTTCATTAGTTAAATCTAAGCATTCCAGCACTAAGCACAGTTGTCTTAGCTGCCATGTCCACTGTCCCTTCACAAGAAAACACCAACTCCATTTCCACTGCTAGATAACACAAAGGATGGCAATAGGATTCCAATATCACTAGATACAATTTCAGTGTTTCTAACAGAAAATTTTAAAAGACAGAGACCTTCAACTGACATGAGATGAAGTGGCCTCCCACTTAAGATCCCCGAGGGATACGGCCTTGTTCCTGAACTGACAGGAGGCAACTGCGCAGTTGGACCCCTTTCCAGAGACTTTTCTTCACGCATACACCTTGCTGTTCCCAAAGGCACCCAACATGTATTGGTGTCTTTGAATATGCCACCCAAGAGTGATACATACCACTGCCTCCCTGCTTTATCCTTTAGGAGGGGTTGAAGTCCTAACAAGAAATGCTCATATAATGTGTTACAATGATAGAAAAGGAACATTGCTTTTGAAAAGATGGGGTTGGTCATTGCCCTCTGTGCTTCCCTATTAGCCTGTGCTTACTATGACCATAATTACTGAATACATTCACATGTCTGATTCTTTCTATGATGATGTGTGTTCTTAGTTTTATCCCCTATGCCTGGCCAGCTCATTATAGATGTATAATGTTTCCTCAATTTTGTGTAATTTTTATCAGATAAGATTCTGCCTATCCTTCTATTTTAATTAAAATTTATTTAATTCATTTCATTCCCTTGCCCAAAGATCCCAAGATTTCAGTCAGCCCTTGGGAGTCAATATTGGAGTCCTTCTTTCCCTAACTTGTGCATTGCCTTTTTATACTTTCATCACAAACTTGATGTATTCAAAAGTTAAACAGTTGGTAGATTGTTTTGTAATCAAAGTAGAATATTCTGCTCATTTTGAAGGGGTGTTTGTGGGGAAGGGTAATTACCTCTTACAGGCCAGGTAATGTTTGACCAACACTCTAAATTTCTCTGTGTTAAACTCTGTTCTGACTCTGTCTCTGTTTCTCCTCCTCCCCCTTCTCTTGGCCCCACCTTAGAGAGCAGAAAAGAATTTCCTTACCTGATTCTGGCTTCTCTTTATTCCAACCCTATCAAAGTCCTCCAGGTGTCACAGTCCACCTCAGAAACTTGACATTTTCTTGCAAACATTATATTCCTCTGCATACACACTTTTGGCCTGCTTTGAAATAGCTTAACTAGGATAGCTCCTACAAAGTGGGAAAAAATTCAGCAGTTATAAACTAATGGTGACTACCCTCTTGCTTCCTTCCTCTCTGTTCCTCCAGTTCCATTTCCCAAAGCATCAATAATAATTTCTCTTCCACTTTGTTCTAAGCTCCACTGTGGCTGCAAGCCAGCAGTTTTGTGATCCAAGTGAGGAGACATCATGGAAAAGAGAGTTACGGTTTATTACATTTGAACACTTAGCATTTGTCAGGAACTATTCTAAGTTCGCCACATACAATATCTTTATTCAAACTGGAACAAAGAATGGTAAATCCAAGGGCACAGAACCATGAGGTAGTAAAGTCTGGACACCCAAACTTATCATACATCAAAGACCTTGACCCTAACCACCACATCATAGTGCTACCACAGAATAGCAACTGCCTGGCAGTCATTACAGGGAACTAGTTAGCACAATGATGCTCTCCATTTCCTGTTCTGGAATCAGAGGAGATGTGGATAGAAAGAAGTGGAGGAAGGCACAGGTGTCTAAAATCATTTCAAAAATGGCCCAGAAATATTGCCTTCTAGGAGGCAATTCAGGACCACTCACAGGGGAAGAGAGAGAGCAAATTGATTTCCATGGCCTGGTGGTGGTTTTAAATAGAGCCAGCTAGCCTGACCAGAAGATTGAATGAACTCTGCTTTCAACAGTAAACTGAGCCCCTGCACCATTGTTCAGTACTCTTGGACTTCAGTTTTGGGGACAAATATACCTCCATACACAAAACCAGTGATCCAATATTAACTAACCACTGTATTTTAATTCATGTTCATTAGCAGGGTTTGTTATGGTGGGAATGTGGGGAGGGCAAGGGTAGTAGTTAATCATTCTTACTGTTATATTTCAGTCTGTATAGCAGAAATAATTCATCTTCATAATAGCTACCAATTTCTTTTTGTTACAGAGGTTCACCAGATAGAGATGCAATTGTAAGTATTTAAATGACCATTTTTAGAAGGTTTATGTGTTCATATAGGCTCTTTAAATTTCCTGAAACCCCATTCTTCTTTTCATTTCTTATTTTCTTTTTTATTTTCTTTCCTGTAGGGAAAAATTATTTGAATGGGTTTTCGAACTACTCAATGTAATAAATGCTTGGAATAGAAATGAAGCCTTGGTCAAGTTAGGCCTATTTTTTTGCATTCACCTGCAACCTGGGTCCAGAGTAGGCAACCCTCAATATGTGGGTCAAAAGCCAAGCAGTGTGTGCAGAGGCTGCTACCATCCACTGTTCTTTCATTCCTCATTTAACAATGAGAAGTTCATTGTGTGAGAACATTTTTCTTCAACAGAGGCCACAATGTCATGATGGAGCTGAGAACCAATAAAATGAAAAGATGCCTTTCTACTTTTATACTTGCCCTGCAGTTGTATTTTCTATATTAAATTCAAAAGGAGGGAATGGTCTTAAAACCATTTATGCCTGTATTTAAGCCTGAAGAAACAAAATGTTTCCCCTGGGTTTAGGTTTTAGAACAGCTCTGCCTCCTTACTGGCTACCCAATTTCTGGTTGTTGAAACAAGTCAGGAAATCATGGGCTCAGATTTATCTGAGTTGATTCTAGGATTCTTCACCAACTCAGACAGTAACTTTCTTCAAATCTAAATTAGACATCCATTCAGAAGGTTCGAAGAAACAGCTGCTCCTGAGAACAGAGGAAGGAGACTCAGATGAGGCTCATTGGGCTTCAGTGGGAGCTAACATAAGCTGGTGGTTAAAAATGGTTTTTTTCTGAAAGATCACCCTTTGTAACATTGTTAAACTCCAAGTGGGGTGCTCATTGCAGCTCTAGCAAGAGTTTTTCTCCCACACTTGACTGGGGGTGCCTTTTTTATTCATGTGGTTCTAGCCATGAAATGTGAAGAGATAAACTGAAATTTGTTGGACATTGGGTAACACTGTAATCAAGGCTCTATTCAGCAGGGGACAAAAAAGATCCAGAAGACGCAGCTTCTCCTCACCTCTTGCTTCTGGCTCAGAGCCCTCTCCTTAACTCTGTCTCAGGTACTCTGCTTCTATGTCTTCTCTTTGGCTTGGCGCCCTCCCTCGATTCTCCTGTCCCTCCCCTTCCAACTTTGCAAGGCTCTGTTAGCTGTTCTGCTTCCTACCCTGCTGCTTCCCACTGGATTGCCAATTCTTCCTTCTCTCCCTTGCCACTTCTCAGTCTTGTCCTTTTTCTTTCTCCAAATGCCCTACTCATTGTCTGGGAGTCCCCATTGTTATCTTATTGTTCTCTGTTCTTCTGGGGAACACCAGTTTCAGTCTCTGGCAGGACAGGCAGCACATACCCTAATGCAGCAGCTGATGTCTTAACAAGCAACTCTGAGTGCATGCTGCATTCCTCGCCCCGGCAGTCATCCTGAACAATGTCTGCCCAACATCACAGCCGCAGGCCCGCATTCCCTGCTCCCTCCTTTATTGCCACCATTCCAATCCAAGTAAATTTGTGTATTATGTCCTCTTCATTACTTGGTGGATAGCAATTAATACCACTCTTCCTAATAATTATTATTAGGAATGGGGAATTACTGAATTTTGATTTCTCAAGAAACATTTGCATACCTATTCTGTGTTCAAAGTAAATACATATTCTCACACACAGGATGTATAACTTCATGAATGATTGGAAATTCTTAGCCACTGCTGGTCTGATCATTTGGCAATGTTCCCCAAATTCTCTCCACTCATGGTCTCCAAATTTTGAAACTCAATACTTTCTGGCCTGTGTATCTACTTGCAGGTGCCAGCTTAATTATTTTTCAAATTCAGGCTGATTTCCCTAAATCTCCAGGGACCAAATCTACTTTTATTTCACCAACATATATTTCAAATTATTGACTGTTAAATTCCTGAAGTTAAAATTTATGTTTTCATTAATGTGGTTCTATAAATGGCATGTGATGGGATATACATGGAATGGTTATAAACTGCTTAGGAAAGTCAGGGGTTTAAGAAAGCTTCCATTTGAGTTCTCAAAATCCAACAAAGCCCATTTTGTGACAAGGCTTCTCAGTTTTACTCTACAGAGGTTCGTGGCCAGACTGAGTGTACAGACGCAGCCTGCCTTGCTCCAGTACCTGAAGGTTCTATCATTGGCAACACTGTCTGTCTTCATGTCTGAAACTTCAGGCAGCTGCATGTAAGAATGCAGTCTTACCCAGCAACAACCTATAGCTTGCACAAGGTACACATTTAAACATTTTCCGATTTCCCTGCACATCTGGACTGGGACCTCAGGGTCACAGTTCTTGTTACGAGTTCTTCCTGAACAGGTGTGCAGGAAAGCGTGCAGATGTAGTTATGTGTACTGTGTGCATTGGTGATTCTCAGAAAGACTTTAATACAGGAGAAAATATAATAAACTTTTCCTAGCTTGATTAGAAATTCTACAACAGTACTTTTTCAGTCTCTTCTTGTGTGTCCTATGTCTGTTCTCTACTCGTAAACAAAATGCTGGCCAAACGAGGATTACCTCCACGTAGTCTCCAATGAGTGGGACTCATCTTCCTTCTCCCTTCTTCTCCTGACCTAACCAAGCTGGCCTGCTGAATAGAGCCTCATTATGGGCCCCAAAGTCCACTGTTTGCGTAAGGTCCCTGCCACACTTGGTAGGCTGGACAATTTGGCCTAGAAATTGTTTCTTCTATGGTATGTTTGTTGATTCCATGTGATTCTTTATATGTGTCTTGAAGAACAAACAGATCCTTTAACAACTTTTTTCTACATGAAAACAATCAATTCCAGCAGCCCAGTCCACATGAACCACCCTACAATTACAAAGCAGAGTGTGCGCGTGAAGGAGGAAAAAAAGTTTCGGTAAGGAACCAGATTTTAGTTTAAAATTTCCAAGGGGTTGTAGCAACAGTGAGTAAAACTCCAACTTAAAGTTTGGAAAATACAGTAACTTTTACTTACTTCACTTAAGAAGACTCTTTCTTGGGTATTTCCAAAACCCTTTTGATCAAGTTAGATCAATTTTAAATCAACTACACAGATTTTACCAGTTAACTTCCAAGCAGTCCCTTAAAGAGTCATCAGGCATAAATGATGTGTGATTCTTCTGTCTGAGACAAAATACCAGGATTTCAATACTGACATTATACAGATTGAGTAGCAAACACTTGTTGGCCTAAGCACTATTTAAATAATATTAGAAACTTAGCAAGACCTTGGCCTATGAGAGCCAGTGAATTTTATGTTCGGGTTGTTGATCTTAGTCTTGCTGTACAGTAACTGTTGCTGTGGTGTTTAATATTATCGCCACCTGTGGCTACAGAATTAAAATTCAGTGTTTTTCTTGCACTTATCACATATCAAATACTCTGCAGCCACTAGGCTAGTGACTACCTTTGTGGACAGTGCACACACTGAACACATCTGTCTTCACAGACAGTTCTGCTGGCTACTGTACTGCGGAATTACATACCAAGAGAGTTGGGCCCTTGCTAGGGAAAGGATGCTATTCAGTGTGCCATTTATCTTTAACACTTCACACCCCAGGATGCTATGTGGACATGAGCTGGCCTCAGAAAATAGAGCCATTCACAACTGAAATTGAGAGCTGTGAGCAATGTACAATTGAACACAATTGTTATATTATGCAACAGTTTAGTCTATCAAATGACCTGATACTGTACAGTAAGCTCAATTAAAGCAAAATGCTTGTTTTTATGATTCTTATCTCTGGGAGGCTCAATTATATTTAAATAAAACACATATATTGAAATTATGAAAGTTGCTTATGCTAAATGTTATTTTTTTAAATATAGGAAAGAAGTGAAAGAATATATAACTACAGTTCCAAGAGAAAACCCACTGCTTATATTTTGATAAATAGCTAATATTGTTTTCACTATCAAGCTTAGTCTTCAAGCAATGTTTCCCCAACTTACCTTCTCCATTGCTGCTTCTTCAGAATTTTCCATTTGAAAAGTAATAGCATCATCGCCTCACTATTACTGCTACTGTGAGTGGCATCGTAGTGTTTACTCAATGGCTAAACAATGAGAACTGTTTCTTGGGATTTAGCCAGCAGAATTATAACCAGTCTCCAGACTGACTTAAATTTGATAATTTTCGCATGTGAAACCAAAAATATTTCTAAGAGTCCATTAGCATGAGACAAAATCACCAGTTTCTATAATAAACCCAGATATGTGTGTGTGTATGCCTGTGTATATATTGAATAGCTGGTCAAAAATGTATTGCTATGGTTTGTTGTTTGTGTTTAGTATTTATTTTAAATATGTTCCTATTTTGAAAGAAAATTACTTTTTGTAGATCTGCTTTCTGCTCATTTCAATCTTCCACTGATATCTATGGAAACAAGAATCTTCATTCAGCTCAGATGTAGAAATTCAGAAACATCTTTATCCACAGTGTTGGATATATGTTGTTCAGAAAAAAAAAGTATATAATTTTGTTCAGCTGAACATATAAACTATCTTAGTTTTCAAGGGCTTTAGTTATGGAAATTAAATTGCCATGGATACAAACTAGAAAGCTTCAAAATTTTCAAACACAGTAACTTACCTAATCTCTCTGGTTTTTAGACAATAATATTTTCTATTAAGGAACTGCTTAAAAACTAGGATATATTGATATCATGATATGTTGATCATAAAACTTATGAGTTTATTTTTCTGGAATCATCTTAGTCTTTTATTTTCTATTACTACAAATTAAGCTTCTATATTGAGCCTATTTACTATCTATGCTTTCTGAGGAGGAATTTATATATATAAAGTTATATAAAAAAAGATTTATAAAATGAGAATTGGAAAAAATAAGCCTGACAAAAATTCAATTCAAACCCATGCCAATCCCCAGAGGACACTTTTTTAAATTAAGTAGCAGATTATTTAGTTGCCCAAGTTGGCAATTGTAGCTTCAGAAGGCTTGTATATGCAAGGTTGGTATGGGAAGCTTTTTCAAAGAACTTTGTTCAAAATAAAAAGATTATCAGTGAAAACTAGTGCAGTGAAACAAAGTCTAGGGAAGATTAAAATACTGTAGTCTGAAAACAGAGATTCTTTGTCCGGAGCAGGACACAGAAGGAGTTGGGCACAGGCACTGTGTGGGTGGGTGCTTATCCATGGAGGTGTGAAAGCGTTCTTACATTTGTAAATTCCACTGCGGTGTTGGGTGCATAAGCAGAGGAAGAACATGAGCAAGCTACCTATTCCTAACACAATCATACTGTAAGCCACTGTTGGTCCTTTGAATGCCCTGTCAACATTCAGCAAGGGTTGATCAACCAAGGTGGCTCCTCTGGGTTGTCTAGTGATCCTCTGTGTGCTTACATGAAAAGCTCACCTCTCCGCCTATTGTCTAACTGGGTGTTAAGTGCTCACATCATGGTTCAAGTTGTCTGCGTTTGTGATTGTGGTTGGAGGTCTTGTCCTTGAGCTTCGTGCATTGCCAGTAGACTTGCATTGCTGAGATCTGCTATTGCTCTGTGCCTTACCATCACTCTACATACTGAGCACGGAGATGTTACTGGATGAACCTTCTATTACCAATCTGATGTGTATTTGTGTCCTTGGCTCACCATAAGTAGAGAATTATAGCATTTTTTATTTCATAATACCACATCCTCTCTCAAGTACTTGTGACTGTTTGTCATTGTTATACTAGGAACCAAAATAGAACTCTAAAATAATCCAGAGGCAGTACAATGCTGACATATAATCCACTTACAGTAGTAGGAGGCATAGAACACATGGATGACAGAAATCCAGTATTAATCCCCAATTCTATTTTAATAATTTGATGAGAAAATCCACTTGAGTCAAAAGAAACATCTTTTTCTTCATAGTTAGAAGCTGATTTAACCAGTGTGGAGCTGACTTTTTATTTGACCAAGGAGATGGTCAAATGAATCAGTGACAGAAATGTAAAAGATTAGTTAATGACTTGGATCATTCCTTTTGAGTATGTTGGAAATAATCCAATGTAAGAGCAGCACAGAAGTCAAAATGTTTCTGCTTTAAATAGACAAGGTTATATTCCCTGAAAAATTAAATTATATTGTAGGTGCTGCTAACTCCTCAGTAACTGGATAACTTTTGAGTAGCTAACTATCAAGATCCCTGCACCCAGATGTCCTGTAGTCCTCCATGAATTCATTCCTACAGTGTCATGACAGCTGAACTTATGGCTCAGTTACAGCGATGTGTTCTTCCCTGCTGGAATTTGATAGCTCTTGCTAAAGAAAAATGAGAGTCAACTGTTTTTGTTTGTTCTTTTTTTCAATCCAAGCATTTCCCATCTAAAATTATTTTCAAATTTATTACAGAAGAAAAGCAATGGAGCACCAAATGGATTCTATGCAGAAATTGATTGGGAAAGATATGTGAGTATCAGATTATTCTTCTCTACTAAGTATTTCACAATTTAAAAATAAATAGAGGCATTTTGTTATTTTAATGGGGTCTATAAATAAGTAAAGTATTCTTTCATTAGAAAATGCCTTGCATGTTTAGGTTGTAGTAAACTGTCAGACTTGGCTTCAGAGCACAGCCCCTCCATGAATCAGCCGTGTATGGCTTTGGAAGAATTCATTGCTGGGCAGAAAATGATATCTATAGTTACCTTTTTATCACCATTGCAAGGATTTAATAAAAGCACCAATTGAAGAACATTTTAGTAATCAGTCTAGCCTCTGTGTGTTAAAAATTGTGTTTCTAATGTTAGAATGGTGTACTCCTAAGCAAGAAGTGTGAAGATAATTCATTGCCAACTAACATATAAATCCCAAACTAGCACTGTTGCTGACCAGCATGTGAGTCCTTAGATTAAGTATCTTTTCTTCAAATTTGTTCAGTCCTAAAAAATGAATCAGATCATACAGGAATTGCAGCTGTGAATATGCATAGATACCAATTTCTCTAAGTAATAAAGAGGAATTCATTCTTTAAAAGGGCCTTAGGAAGGATATAGTCTTTAAGCCAAGCCCTAAAGCATGGGGTTAACTGAATTTTGAGGGAATAGAGTGCCAGGTCAGAGAATGACTTTTATAAAGATGCTGAAATGAGAAAGGGTTTGCAGCCTGCAATCACAAGATTCGACAGTAGGAAGAACTGAGGTTGACAGGGTCTGCAGAAGAGAATGCAGGCCTGAGGTGCAAGGGACAGGAGTTGCTCCTGCGCTGGCTTGCTGGCCACACAGAGGTGCTCAACTTTAATTCTAAGTGCAATAGAAGCTACGGATGGTAGATTTCCTTGGATTTATTGATTTGATTTCTATCTAATTTTTAACAGATTATGATTTCAGATACAATGCTAAGAACATTGTGAAATCCCCTCCCTCCCACACCTCTTCCTTGTCCCTCTTGCCTTTTTTCTAAGCTATTGAGATAGAACTACTTTAAATTTATGATACAGTAAAAAGGCTCAAAACTTCACTGAATAAGAAGCTAACAAAGAAATACTTTTGACTTTACTAAGACTCTGGTTTAGTGGAACTGTAGACGATGGCTATGGTCAAAAAAATAGTCATTTCACCAATATGTAGTAAAGTTTAAAGTAACCACAGATCATTAATAGTATAAAACATTCTTAGTCAAATCCAGCAAAGATATAAAACGAAGTTTTACAAAACTATATTTGCAGCAATGCTGACACACACGGACATATCTTTTTCCTTTTTTTTTTTTTTTGTTGTTGTTGTTGTTGTTGTTGCTGTTGTTGCTGTTAGATTGTGGTTCCCACATAGAAAGAAGAACATGCAATCTTTCTGGGCCAGGCTTACTTCACTCAACACAATGTCCTCTGGCTGCATTCATTTTGCAACAAATGGTAGAATTTCATTTTATGATGGACTAATATTCCATTATGCATGTATACACAACATTTTCTTTATCCATTCATGTGAGGATTGGCACCTTGGTTGATTTCAAATTTTAGCTATTGTGAGTAGTGCTGCTGTAAATGCGGTAATAGAGCAAGTATCTTTTTGATTCATTGTGTTCAAATCTTTTGGATATATACTCCGCAGTGGGATCACTGGATCACATGGAAAGCTTCTTCCTGTATTATAAGATGTCTCCATGCTTGTTTCCAATGATTTGCATCCCTATTCAAGAATGATTGCACTAATTTACATTCCCATTGACAGTATATAATGAATGTTCCCTTTCCTCTGTATCCTCACTAGCATTTGTTACTCCCAGTGCTTTGAATTTTAGCCATCTGACAGGGGATAAGTCATACCTTATTGTGGTTTTGATTTGAATTTCCTTGATGGCTAGCATTATCAAACTTTTTTTCATATATTTGTTAGTTATTTTCATTTCTTGAAGAACTGTCTATCAAATTTCTTTGATCTCTCAATTGGATTGGTTGTTTTTTATTGATTTTTCAAGTTACTGATACATTTGGAATGCTAGTTGTGAGACAGGTGGTTTGCAAGTATTTATTCCATTGTGTTGAATGTCTGTTCATACTTTTAGTTGTTTTCTTGCTGTGCAGAAACTTCTGGTTTGATAGATATGTTTAGTCTTTCTTTTAGTATCTCTGCTTTGAAGGTCTGATACAAAAATACCCCAATGTTTTTGGAATGTTTTCTCTACATTTTCTTCCAGCAACTTTATTGTCTCAAATCTTGTATATGGTGGAAGGTATGAATCTCATTTCTACTACATATATGGATCCAGTGCTGTCAGTACCATTTGTTGAAGACATTGTCCTCACTCCATTTGTCTGTGCACTTCTGATCCAAAAGCAATCATTTAGCTATTTAGATATAGATTAATTTCTGGGCCCTCAGTTCTGTTCAATTAATATATCTGTTGGGTTTTTTTTTTTGCCATATCATAATGTTTTAATTATTACAACTTCAAAATATGCTTTGAAGTCAGGTATTGTGACAACTCCAGCTTGATTTTTCTAGTCCATAACTGCTTTGGCTATTCTGGGTCTTTTGTGATCCCATATGAATTTTGAGATTGCTTTTCTAATTTGGTGAAGAATTTCATTGGTATTTTATTAGGGGTTATATTGAATCTGTAAATTACTCTGAGTGATATGAACATTTTAATGATACTAATTCTTCTAACCTGTGAGAAAGAAATCTCTCCATTTATTGTATCCTTGATTATTTCTTTTATCATTATTTGATCCATTTCACTGTAAATATCTTTCATTTTTTTGGTTAAATTCATTCCTAAATATTTGATGCTTTTGTGGCTATTGTGCATAAGATTTTCTTCTTGATTTTTTCTTTATGTGAATTCTTCATTAGTATTTTCAAATAAACTACTATCTTACCTTTTTTTAAATAGTTATTCTGTAACCTGCAACTTTACTGAATTTATCAGTTATAGCAGTTCTTTGTGGAGTATTTAGGGTTTTTTATGTTCTGAATCATACCATCTACAAACATTAATAATTTGACTTCTTTTATAATTTTGATGCCCTTTCTTTCTTCCTTTTTAATTACTCGTAATTTTATACCTGATTCGTGGAAGGTGAAAGATTTTTTATCATGAATGGCTACTGAATCTTATTATATTCTCTTCTGAATTATTGATATGACCATATAGTTTTTGTTTTTCATTCTATTGATGTGATTTGTGATACTGATTGATTTGTATTGGACCACCATTGATTGGATATTGGACCACCCTTGCATTTCTTGGATGATTACCATTTGATCACAATGTATTATCTTTTTATGTGACTTTGGATTTTATTTGCTAGTATTTTGTTGAGAAATTTTGCATTCATGTTCAGTAAGTATATAGGTTTGTAGTTTTCTTTTTGTGTAATGTCTTTGATTTTGATATAAAGATAATAGTGGCAGAGTTCATCATACAAATATTTTGGAATAGTTTGAAGAGTACTGGAGTTACTTCCTTGAATGTTTTCTAGAATTCAGTAGTAACACATCAGTGAAGTATTAAGTCTTCCTTAAGGCATACTTTTGATTACTGTTTCAATACATAGCCTGTCTAAGGACAGGTTTTTATCAGAGCCATGACCTCACTGTTTTTACAAAAGTAATTCTTAATGCAGAAGGAGGACAAGCGGAAGGTTACAGTAAATTTTTCAAAACCGTGGCTTTCAAATGTGGGTATGGGAATACTCTTATGATCTCACTATATGCAAAAAAAGTCAAACACATTAAAACAGAAAGGATAGTAGTTACCAGGGGCAGTGGAGGAGTAAGAGAAATTGGGAAAAGTAGATCAAAAATTACCAAGCCATAGTGAGGTATAATAACCATGCCTTCTAGAGATTTTAAAAATAGCATATTAACTACAGTTAATATTGTGTACTGAAAAATTGCTGAGACACTAGATTTTAGTTTCTATAGAAACTTTCCTGCCCGCCCCCAACACACACATGTGGTAAATGTGGAAGGTAATAGAAATGTAAATGTGTGTATATATCAAAATATGCTGCACATGTTAAATACAAAAATAAAGATTCCATTTTAAAGTAAAATAGAAGTATGCCATTGGAACAGTTTTGTAGAAGGGAAGGGAAGGGAAGGGAAGGGAAGGGAAGGGAAGGGAAGGGAAGGGAAGGGAAGGGAAGGGAAGGGAAGGGGAGGGAAGGGAAGGGAGAACGACAGGAATGAGGGTATAGTGAAAGGACTACTATGCTGCTAAATCAGTAATGTCAAATGTGTGACATTTTTTCACTTTATATAAATAAAATAAGTTTTAAAATGATTGTAATTTTTAAAAAGGCATTCAGACTGTCTTCTGTTCTCATGGTGTTTTCCCTTGCTTCGGACTCCCCGATCTCTCTTGAATCTATCTTCTATCATTGCCAGGCCTACAGTATTCAGTTTCAAATAGGATCACTCTTACACACCTGGTATCCAACACATCACATATAGTCTCAAAAGGCCTAAGTGTGAAATTTGCTGAGAGTGTTTCCTTAAGAAAAGGTATCTGATTTCTCTTAGTTTCCTTCTTGGTCAGTTCTTTCCACCTGTGGTTGCTAAGTAAGACAGTGAGATAAAGTATTGACCATAATGTCATATCATAGAAACTCAAATTTAATAATGCTAATCTCAACTATTTAGCTATCTTTTTTTCATCTTTCTTGCCTTTCTCCTAAAAAATATTAGTCATCTCCTATAAAAATTATTTTATTTATATAAATCCAAAAGGACTAGCACTCTCCTATGATTTGGCATTCAAACCCTAACACCTTGAAATTTACTTCCCCTTTGTCAGGTATGATAATCTGTTTCCAAAATCTACCAAATGATCTTTTCAGATGTTCTTGAGTCATTCATTTGGTGGTCATTGAGCCACCAAAACTGGCTCCATGTACTTATTGCATCTTGCCTGAATTAATGCATGTATTTTAAGTTGCTTTTCTGCCCAATTATTCTGCCCAATTTTAAGTTGCTGTTCTGTCCTCCAATCTATCCTGGAACATAATTTCAGGACATCTTAACACTCTACTTTAGCGTGTCCCACTGCATTAAGTTCCAGCACCTATTTCAAGCCCAAGTTCTTCCCTTGGCATATTGGCCATACATGGTCTCATTTCCCAGTCTTTCTCTCTTTGAATCATGTTATTTTTTATGTTGCTTCTGTCTTTTTACATCTGCACCATAAAAGTGTCAATTCCTGTACTGATTCTTCACCACTGGGAGGGGACTCCCACTCTACCATCTTTAACTATACATTACAGACCTCCTTGATTTTCTCAAATCTGCTTTGCTTTTCCTGTGGAATATGACAGAACATTAATATTTTGTATCTTGTCCATGCTTTTTAATTTTGACATACCAAAATACATTTTTCCTGAAGACACATAATTTATATTCCATAGCCCCCATTTTAGTAGCAGTCTCTGGCTTACCAAAAATACAATGAATTTTTCTTTTTTTGAGTGCTTGAAAGTTCAGTCCTCATTTGTTTTCCCAGTAGACCTCCTCAAACATCCTTGACTAAATACCTAAACATTACGTATTGTTTAGCAATCACTTCCTCAAGTTAAGAGCTTAGCCTCCTAAAGTAAGAGACTTATGCACATTCTTAAATTGAACACCTTTGTTGGAAATAAATTATTGTTTGAACATTATTGGGAAAGCAATTGTTCAATGTGTACTTGTGTTTTATAGAACTCACCTGAGCTGGATGAAGAAGGTTACAGCATCAGACCTGAGGAACCCGGCTATATCCTTTCTTTATTTCTTTACGAATATTTTTATTCTCTTTCAGAGAAAAGTGAGATAAATCTCAGTTTTACATGGGTGAGAGAAAAACCAGGGCCCCACAAGTTATTTCATTCTGAATATGAGAGATGAGTAAGGCAGCAATCTGCTCACGAACAAGCAGGCGTATTGCCTTGACCTATTCATAGAAAAGAGAGGAGAAAGAAACGTGTGCTGAAAATGAGTTGTGTGTTTTGGTTACTGAACTGTGTATTACAGCCTGCTATGACAATGTTATTTTTAGTGACTAGAAAATAGCTATTACTGTCCTCTCCCTATAGTTAATTTTTGGGAAAAGCACGCCACACTCTGCAACTCTTAAAACTCATAGCATGCTCTCCAGAAGGTAGTCTTCCTCCCTCTCTGTTAGATCTGTAAGTATATGTGTGCTTATGTGTGCAAGTAGTACAGTGTGGCAGCAAATCACAGCAAATATGTAGGATGTTATTGATCGCTCCATTAGGTTCATTATCCTTTATCATGTTCTGAGGAAAGGTGGATCAATTGCAGTTGCTTCCTCTTTTATTTTTATAAAATTATGCTTGTCTCGTACATATCATTGCCAACTAGTAGAAGAAAGAGTTGTGTATCTTTAACTGTGTTCTACCTACCAAAGGAAAGCACTTTTATTCTTCAAGTGAATCGGAAGAGGAAGAAGAGTCACACAAGAAATTTAATATCAAGATTAAACCATTGCAATCTAAAGACATTCTTAAGAATGCTGCAACTGTAGATGAACTGAAGGCATCAATAGGCAACATTGCACTTTCCCCATCACCAGTGGTGAGTGGTTTCTTTATGATATGTTGTAGGGTTGTTTGGGCAGAGAGCTGTGTTTTGTCTAAATGCATTATGTCCATCAGAAAATTTTTAAATGATTATCATTTTGTGATCTTTATAAATCTTCAATAGCTCATTTTGGCTTAAGTTTTCCTCATTTTATACTGCAGTTCTTGTGCTATCAAAATGATAAAAATGATTGCTTCCTTCTTTGACTTATTTCTCTACAAACATTTAAGAAAGGAAAAAATGCAAAAAATTTTGTAAAATTTACTTCTGAAGCTGACTTAGTAATAAAAAGAAATTCAAATGCACTAACATTTTTTAAACTTATCTTCATTTCTGTTTTTATAACAGAAAGTTTAAATAAACTTTATCATACCAGTGCAAAGAAGGAATATTAACCAATCAACCCAAATAGATATTAAAACCCATATCTTCATTGCATTTTATTATTAAATTGCTTAAGTACCCTCATCTTTAATCACCTTAAACACCCAGTGACCTATTACAGTATTCAAATTAGTATTTTCCCACAACTTGTGCTTTCATTTTAAAATTACTGATCTATTAAATTTCTTTATTTGATAAGTTCTGAATTCTAGCATTGACATTGTTTTCTTTAGGGCATTTGGTAAAAGCCACCATTTTGATTTCTAAAAATAACCATTAAGAGCAAATGAAGGCTCTCAAATGCAGCAGACATGATCTTAGCATCTTTTCAAAGAGATGTGATCTCCCTCCAGTAACCTGCTCAGAGTGGTTAGTAAATCCTGAACTGTTTTCAAGTTGCTTTGGGAAATACCCTCAATTAACCTTCCTAGTTAATGAATTACCATCAACCATCTTTTAAGAATCCACTTTCACTTTCCTACAGAGAAGAAAATCTAGGGTGATGATATATCTAGTGCTTTACCTAGTAGCATTTGCAACTACTATGATTGACTATTAAAATGATGGCTAAGAGTAACCTACCACAGAAAAGAAGTTTAATCATATACACTCCGATCAACCCATGGTGTCTTCCTTAAAAAGGAGGCATGAAATATATTAGTCTTCTTTCCTTTCTGTGGTGGGAAATTAATATTTTAAATTCTCATTCTGGTCTGTGTAATGGTAACAGACAGTTTTGATATACAAATTTTCACTTTTCAAAGTTGACATGCTTCAATTTTTTTCACGTATTCAACTTATTTAACTGTAAAGATCTATTGAAATGCCTAAGCCAATTTATATCTACTCTTCTGTAGACTGTAATAAGCTTAGTGGGCACTTGGAGCTTCCTGGGGTAAGTTGAAGAAGGCAAGTTTGCATAATTAAATCAGCAAATGTCTTTGAAAGCAAATTTTCTATCCAACAGTCACAGAAGCATAGCAGATACTCACTGACAGTTAGTTGAGTCTAGAAAAGGAGAGAACCCTCCATCAAAAATATGAGTTAAGTGTGTAGTTATAGTGTTTGACATTACATTGCTAGTTCCACGGATTCTTAAAAAGGAATAAGATAGAGGGCAGTGGTGAAGGCTCTTGGGGAAGTAGTATATTTTGTTCTTAATTTGGGTGTTTGTAACAAGTATGATCAGATGGCACAAAAACCTTACTTGTCTGTGTACCTACATGGATATTTTAGTGTGTATACTGTTCTTCAAACACGATAAAAGAAAATCAGTGAGTCTCCAACCAGATGTTTTCTGAGGACTTGGCAGGAAAAGTATTTGCTATGGGCTGTTCTCGAGATCTTTTGAAGTAATTCATCAATGAGGTCGTTGAAATTTCAATTTAAAGAACTGGAGGAAAGCAGCATAAAAATCAGACGGTAATACTGAAAGAATGCAGTTTGGTTAGGACATTTCTGCTACAAACTACTGATACTCCACTCCTTTCTTGGACCACCCAACCTCTGTCCATTCCTTTGAAAATGGGATTATGGCTCTTCTATTACTATGGTTCCCAGATAGTTGAAACTTTTAATATTTAGTGCAGAAGAGTAAGCTGTTGTCACTACTTTAGGTACAGATGAACACATTTTTGGACATACGTAAGTATAAAAATAGGTTGTAGCTGAAAACATGCTCTTGATTTTGGAATCCTTATTATCTTCTAGAAAGCCATTGTGTACATATTTTAAAAGTAACATATATAGCACTTTATCTTCAGCCTCAAGAAAGTAGAAATAACTTTCTGAAATGCAGCTAATGCCAAAGTGAACAAGGAAAATGTTACGTACAGGCAGATGATTAGCTACTTATACATCTATGCTTTGCTCAGATAATAAAAACAGAACAAAACAATGATAAATCAGAATATTTCACATGCTCTAGGTTCTTATGCTACAAAATCTTCAATCATTACATCATCAGAAATAGAGGAACTTACAAATGGTAAACTATTCCTCACAATGCCTTGTGTTTGGGTTTCTGAGTTTTATGTCTTCCAAAAAATTTAAGGTGAAGTTGTGGCTTCCTTCGTCTTTTCACCCATCTGTGAATTTGTATCCATGAATTGTGACTGTTTTGATCTCTTTCCTTATAACCTGGTTTTATTTTATTTGGATAATTTCCTTGTATACCCAGTTGATCAAATTGTTCAATGATGAGTGAAATTGAATGAATGAATGATCTGTAAACGTTACTGCTCTCCAAGCCAAGGCTTCAACAATGTAGAAAATCAGTTTTAAAACTGCTGTTAAAAAAATTTACTGTATTATTCAGCAAATAAAATTTAAGTCCAAATCTCACCTTGGCTTTGATTTTTATATATAAAATAGAATTATTATATGAGTTATGCAGTTATGCTATGAAAAGGTAGCACAAAAGAAGGATGAAGGATTTATTTCCAAATAAAAGATGTTAGTTTATATTATACTGTAGTCTTCTAATGAAATGTGATTCTCCAGGTCAAACAAAGAAAAATCACCAAGGTTTGAACTGTTGATTTATATCTGTGTAATTTATAAAACCGGTTGGGCTATTTTAGCGATGGCTAAAATAATAATGGCTGAAGCAAAATACCATACAGGGGGTTATAGTAATTCTTGAGGTAATAAAGTCCTACTCTGGGACTCCCTGGAGACCCCAGGCACTGTCTGCGTTACAGTTCCACAAGTAAGCAACTCCATGTTCCTGCCCTGGGACAGAGCAAAGAGAAAATGAAAGGCAAGTCGTTTCCTTAAAGAGTGCTCCTCACAAGTGGCATGCATCACTACCATTCAGAACTTACTGCTTAGAGTTTAGTCACTTGGGCACATTAACATGAAAATACAGTCTTTTGTTGGATGGGGCAGTTAAAATTTAGTGCTCTATTTCTAAAAGACAACGGAGCAAAATGCTATCAACAGACTCTAGTAGTTTCTACCACGGTGTCTTAAACAATCTTCAGCTATTTGGAAAAATTCATTAGGAAATGTGATCTCCCATGTTTATCATTAAAATTATTCTTAGAATCTATTAAATATAAGATATCTCCTTTAAACTTTTTCTAATTTCTAAATGCAGGTGATGCTATGCCACGTATAAGCTAAAACAGGATGAACAGAACAAATTTCTGTAAAATACTAAGATCATACACCATCTGTCTTCCAAAGGCTGGTGCCAGCTGAGGCAGGCTTTTTCATTGTTGAAATGAAAGTCTTCCTTTTATTTATCCAAATTGCATAACTTTTGTCCTTGGTTTTTATTGTACTGTTTAGAGAATCAAAAGGAGCAGGTCGCTCCCTTTGCCAACACCTTTTTCACAGAATAGACTAACTCCAACTCCATAATCATTGTGCAAGATGCTTATTAAGAAGTGCCCTTGAGCTTAACACCTGTGGAATACACACAGAACAGCTGGGCAGCTTTGTGTATTCAGCACTAGCTTGAATTGATCCAACATTTCTCTGGTGCTAGAATGATCCTGCAAGGACATTGTGAGTTTGTCTGGGATTAAGAAGCTTTACACTGATATTATCAGTCAGTGATCAAATCTGGACCTTGCTGGTAAGGGTTGAGACCCTGGGCAGGATGGCTCTCTTCCCCAAAGACTGACCGAAGGTGTTGGCAACTGAAGTCTATTTGAAGGGGAATCTGCATGGTGCATTTTAGTGTTCGCCACAAAGCCCTGTGCCTGACATAGGTCCTATATGACAGCCATTGGATAAATGATAGCAAGTGAGTGATTGAGTAAATGAACAAACATGGAAACATGAACAGGCCATGGACAGGCTACTGTGTCATATGAACTCCTTCCAGCTTTACATGTATTCATTGATAATATATTTTAGCCTCTCTTGTTCATTGCATAATCATTCACTTACCTCATCCATAGATATTGCATTCAGGTGTTATCTCATAGTGTTAGAATTTTCTGAAGAGGACAAAGTACTTTTTCCAAAGAATATCATAAATAGTGATAAATCAGATAACCCAATTAGCCATAGTCATTGGAAACAAAGTAGTAATTATGTACCCTATGCTTCAAACTTGGCAAATGTGTGAATAAGTTTCGGTGATACCTATTAATGGATTTCTAGAAGAAATCAAATTACTTTGAGCAATGTCAATATCGCATAAGCTTGTGTGGTGCTTCTTCCAGAGACCATATGGCTGACTGCTTCACAATTCCAAACCCTATTGTGTATGCCATATCAAATTTATTTTATGGAGAAATGATTTAATTTCTCACTCCCTCTTCAAATCAGCTCACATAAAATCTTTTGGACACCCTCTATACAGCAGGCACTGAGTCCTAATACCAGAAATTCTAACCAGCATAGCTAGCCTTCTTAGTAGCATGGCCTACAAGCTTTTGACAAGCTAACACATAACCAGTGTTTGGCAGCAGCACCCAAAAGCAACGTTGCCCTGACGTCCAAGCCTCTGGCCCTTTTCACCTCAGTTTTCCAACTGTAGATGTGTGATTTTCAGCAGCAGTCTTCCCCTCATTGACTTCCATTTTACAGTCTTTTGGCTTCCTTATCCCAAAACTCTGAACTGTGGACCTCTCCATTTGTTCCAAAACAAACAG